CTGCGCACCCCCTACGGTGTCGTGAAACTGCCACGCCTGCTAGGTTTTGCGACAGTGTCGTGGATAGCGGGCGAGCTCAGGGACCACCCCCTGCGCACCCCCTATAGTCATGCGAAACTGCCACGCCTGCTAGGCTTTGCGACAGTGTCGTGGATAGCGGCCGCGCTCAGGGACCACCCCCTGCGCACCCCCTCTGGTGTCGAGAAAGTGCTACGCCTGCGAGGTTTTGCGACAGTGTCGTGGATAGCGGGCGAGCTCAGGGACCACCCCCTGCGCACCCCCTCTGGTGTCGAGAATGCGCACGCCTGCTAGGCTTTGCGCCAGTGTCGTGGATAGCGGCCGCGCTCAGGGACCACCTCCTGCGCACACCCTGCGGTGTCGTGAAACTGCCGCGCCTGCTAGGCTTTGCGACAGTGTCGTGGATAGCGGGCGAGCTCAGGGACCACCCCCTGCGCAGCCCCTACGGTGTAGTGAAACTGCCGCGCCTGCTAGGCTTTGCGACAGTGTCGTGGATAGCGGGCGAGCTCAGGGACCACCCCCTGCGCACCCCCTCTGGTGTCGAGAAAGTGCCACGCCTGCTAGGCTTTGCGCCAGTGTCGTGGATGCCGGCCGCGCTCAGGGACCACCCCCTGCGCACCCCCTCTGGTGTCGAGAATGTGCCACGCTTGCAAGGCTTTGCGACAGTGTCGTGGATAGCGGCCGCGCTCAGGGACCACCCCCTGCGCACCCCCTACGGTGTCGAGAAAGTGCCACGCCTGCTAGGTTTTGCGACAGTGTCGTGGATAGCGGGCGAGCTCAGGGACCACGACCACGCCTGCCGCGCTTTGCGAACCCGAAACGAATAGCGTCCCCACCCACAGCGCACCCCCTGTGGTGTCGAGAAACTCACGCCTGCCACGCTATGCGAGCCTGAAACGGATAGCGCCCCCACCCACAGTTCCCCCCCCTTCTGGTGTCGAGAAGCCACGCCTGCCACGCGTTGCGAGCCCGAAACGGATAGCGCCCCCACCCCCAGCTCACCCCCTGTGGTGTGGAGAACCCACGCCTCCCCATATGGTGTCCAGAAAGTGCCGCGAAAGGGCGTGCTGTGCTGTGCTGTGCTGTGCTGTGCTGTGCTGTCCTATGCAGTGCTGCGGTCTGCTGTGCTGTGCTGTGCTGCGCTGTGCGCGTGAGGAGGATGAGGGGGATGATGAGGAGGAGGAGGGGAGGAGGGCGGGCGTGGGTGAGACGCGGGCGCCTCGCGGCAGGGAAGAAAACCTGAACCCCGCGAAACATGGGGGGAATAACTCTATGCTGCACCCACACAGATGATCTCTGACAACAGCGCGCTGGTCACAGTATCTGAAGAACAGCAAGGGTACTTGCCTGCGTGGGGCAACCCACAGGACGTCAACACAATCGAGACATATCCTGTCCCATTGTGTTCCACGGACGACCAGGACAGTTATGGATTAGACTCCGGCGAGCGCGGACAACAGGTGGAGCTCTGCTTCGCGGCAGAGATGCCGAAGGTAGTCTTATCCGAACACCAACGTAGGATACTGGACGTCGACCGTGTTCCCACGATGCAAGTATATGTGACCGCTGCAGCTAAACGAGCTGCGGTTGTCAAGGAGGACGACCTCCTCGCGGAGGCAGATATGCAGGCAAATCCAGCCAAGGTATCAGACGCCCTATATACTGAATCCAAGGCATGGTTTGACAACAAGTGTTTCAATTTACAAGATGCATCCAAGGCGTCAAACACCATGACTCCGATATACGTATATAAACGGAAATTCGTCAATAAGGAAATGGGCGAAATGGAACGTGCCATCAGGTTGCGCCTGGTACTTCGGGGCTTCACGGACCTTGAAGCCTCGGATGCAGAAGCGTTTTCAGGAACGGCGCGGCGGTCAAATCGGCGATTGCTCGCCAGTGCGGCAGCGCGCAGGAAGCAGTGGGCCATTGCATCCCTTGACATCGACATGGCCTTCTTGAAGGGACTCGCATACCATGAGCTCTCTGAAGCAACCAGTGAGACGGAGCGCGCGGCGTGCTTCACCTTGCCTCCTGGCTCAGCATCAGCATTCAGATCGCTGCCAGGATCTGAGCATTATGGCGAGTCAAGACATTGTTCGCAGAGCCTTAAACCAGGCACACGCACCAAAGACGCACCAAGAGCCTTCTAGAATTCAGGAAGACCACGAGAGGCTTCGGACTCAGACCAGCGCCCTTCGACGGGGAGTGCGAGGCGAGCTCCAACTTTCTCGCCGCCGAGCAAGTCGATGATATGAACGTGGCCGGAACCGAGGACACCGTCGACATCTTTGCGAACTACAAACTCAACAAATTTGCATGTACCAACTGCGCGGTGAGGTACGCTAAGGATAGAGACGGCGATGTTGTTCTTGACCAAGACGAATATAGACATCAGCTCCGTCCGATCCAGCACCGCGAACTCGCCGTTTCAGATGCTGGGGCCAAAGCATCGGAGATGGTTGCTGACATGTATGTCACCCTCGGAGGCACTCTGGCCTACGCCCTTATCGCACAAGTACGGGTAACGGTATATGTCGCATCGTTGCAGCGTGTCCAAGAACCGACCACATGCAAGTGCGACGGCTCAACGCGGCCACCAGGAAGCTGCAGGCCTGCCCTCAGAAGATCGCTCATAAAGCCATGACACCAACGGGCGAGGTAGACCTGCATAGCGACTCTGGCTATCGTCGCCTGAACGGCGACGCCGATGACGAGGTCCAAGGTTATGGCATTCGCGGGGGAAGCCTGTCGTCCATCTTGTCGACCCGCACTGCAAGTCTCATCGCTCGAAGGCCCGCTCTAGCTATTCGGCTGAAGCGCTAGCAGCAGCCCATAACTTGGAGGACTACTATCCCACGATTGTTACGCTACATGAACTCCACGCAGGGCCGCTGACACCCACTCAAATGAAGGATATTATTGAGATGGGCGGCTTCAACATTGAGGTCGCCCTGGCCACTTACGCGGAATATGTTCCAAGTTCTTGTCAAGCAAAGGCTTGAATAGGGCCGACTGAATGTACCCCCCTGGGTCACATCAGATGGATAGGGCAAGTGATGGAACGCGGTGTCGTGCATAGCGCGCAGTGGTGCGACACCGGCGGCATGGCCGCATATGGTCACACCGAGGGGAGCATTGATTTAGATGTGCTCTTACAACTTATGGAGGGAATGCAAGTCTTCAAGCACGATTTGAAGCGACATACTCCCTACAGGGCTGGCCAGACGAAGCCATCTGAGCCGCCCGAGGAGTAACGCGCTGTGGGGAAACCTGCTGAAGTTGAGCCCGTTGGCTGCTGCCTTTCCTGCCTTTCCTTTATGACATAGCTGTTTTGCCGAATTGGGCTGGACGCGGACTCGCGCTTCGTCTTCCCCCACCCCCCCGATTCTGAAGGGCAAAGGCGAGAGGCATCGAGCGTTTGCCCGCGGCCGTTTGGGCTCAAGCGACCAGCCGCCAATTTGACCAGGTCGCACTGCGGCTCGCTATCTGACATCGATACGGATAACAATCCCTTGAGATGTCCCCTTGCCGCTCACGCGGCCATCTCCTACTTTTTGCTTTCTCGCTGCTACAATACAGCAGGGTTGGACGGATACGACGCCTAATGTGTAGTATTTGTTTGGGCCTCCCACCTCACTTTAAAATTTGGTGTGCTGTTTCCCCTTCTCCTGTTTTGGTTTGGTGGTTTGTCCGTGAGCGAGTGGTTGGAGACGGGCAGCGATGAGGAGATTGGCGGCGCCCACCAACAAGAACCAGTCTGGTGGTCTGCTGATCTGGAGGTTTGGTGGCCTGGCGGTCTGGTGGTCTGGTGGTCTCGTGGTTTGGCGGTCTTGTGGTCTGGTCTGGTGGTCTACTTGTCTGGTGGTCTGGTGGTCTGGTGGTCTGGTGGTGGTGGTACGGTCTGGTGGTCCTCCCAACCACAAGATTTGGTCTGGTGGTCAAGTGGTGTGGTGGTCTCAGACCTGGTCAGGTGGTCGGGTGGTCCGCCAGACCACCAGGCCTGGTCTGGCGGTCTGGTGTCTTGGTGTTTTGGTGGGCCTCCAGACCGCGAGACCAGCCTGTGGCTCGTGTTATGCGCCCAGATGCTGCGCACTTGTTTGTTTGATCATGCCACCCCGGTCCAACAACAAGGGATGGGGAAATAGCGTACCAAAAGCTGGTTTGGAACGTTATTTCCTCCTCTCCCGTTTTGGTTTGTAGTCTGGTGGTCGGGTGGACCGCAAAACCACCGTGCCATGTGATGGTAAGGCGATATGGTGGCATGCTGCGCAGCGCCTTCTGCCAGGCAAGAACGCACCCCCCCAAGCACATGCAGCTACCTCTATGGCGGTCGTATTTGCAGCGCCCTCTGTTGGGCAAGGCCACTTCCCATGTTGATTTTTGTTTTAATCCTTGAGGTTAGGCGTGCCCCCCCATGTGCAATGCAGCGTCCTCTGCTGGGCAGGGGCTCGGGGCTCTGCCCAACATAGGGCGCTGCACTGCAGATGCAGCACGTCTAAAACCAAGGATGGTTTTTAATCGGCTTGGGGAGGGGCGCTGCCCAACAGAGGGCGCTGCACAATAACGGGGGCAAGTCTAGCACCAAGGATGTTTTTCTAATCAGCTTTGGGAGGGGCCTTGCCTTGGACAGGATAGAGTGATTCCTCCTTTTGTGTTGCTATGGACGAGTCGGGTAACAATAGGTAGGAGTTTCGCCCAATGGGATGTCATGCGAACGGCAGAGCAGAGTACATAATGGTTTTACGTTATCCTGCGTCGCCGAGTGATTATAATCGAATCATATTAGGTTTCGTGCCCGTGCGTTGCTGTGTGAAGAGTGGAGCGCCTGTTTTCCCGCGCCAGTGTGTTGCCACCTGGCGAGTCCAGTAGCGTGGTAGTTTTTTTGTCGCAGTTCTGCGTTGCCGTGTGACGGGTAGGCTTAAGTGTTTTGGTTTTCACCCCCTGCGTTGTCACGTGACCACCCCCCCACCCGTGCCCAGGATCCCGACGTGCGGGATGCCGCCATCAAGGAGCGCCGCGCTCCAGCGGCGGCGGCGCTACCGTGCCGCCGTCATCGTCGACGACGCCGTTGTTGTGTTGTCACATTTTCATCGTCGAAGCGAACTTCAAATCGAGATGCACATCCAGTTTCTGTCGACATACGTACCGTCATTGAAAGTGGAATGCAACTGGGAATGCGCATCGAAGTAAACATTGGAATGCAGGTCGGACTTGAATGCTGAATGCTGTCTAGACTGTACATCGGAATACAGCTAGACATGCACATCAACTTGCACATCGAAATGCAAGCGACATGTAGCTCGGAATGCAATTCGAGATGCACATCCAGTTGCAATATGGTTGTACATCGACATCCGCATCGAAGTGCACATCGACAATCAATACAAATGAATTTCGCAATTCGAACCGAACTGCAAGCGAAATTCAGGCCGCTATGCAAAGTCAACAGAAACGCACATCGGGACGCAAGCTCCTCAACCCCTACCAATTTCCGTAACACACGAAGCGGGGTCTACGATGTAAAGGGGGAAGTGAAGTGGTAGTGATGAGGAGGAGGATCGGACCTTGGGGGGTGAACAAAGCAACTCCAATTGGGAAATCCGTGTCGGTTTCGATTCGTGTAGTGCGTGCATGTATGGAGACGCTGCGTGAGGGTGACGATGTGCCGGCGGCATAGCTAGGATCAAATCGTGAAATTAATCTTGATAAGCAGATCATAGTGCCTGATGCGACCCGACACGAATATCACATCGATATGTAGATCTAATTGCAGTCGACATGGGGACCGTCATATACATCGAATTGCACATGAGAGTGCGTATCGGAGCTGTCTTGGGCTCCTGTTGTGGGGCCCTCTTAGGTCCCTCTTGAGGCCCTCTTGGGCTATCTTAGGCCGTTTAGGGCCCTCTCGGCCGTCTGTGGAGTCTCCTGGGGCTGTTTTTGGAGCCTCTTGGGGCCCTCTGGGGCCATCCTTTGGGCACCCGCGGGCTGTCCTTGATCCCCTTGGACCGTCCTGGGGTTCTCTTGAGGCCGTTTTTGGTCGTACGGGGGGCTTCTACCTTTTGTTGGCTTTTCCGATGCCCTTTTGGAACCATCATGATCTTAGAGGCCCAAGACGCGCAAACAATCAGAGTCAGCATTTGTTTGGCCTATTTGAAGTGGTCGTTGAATTCCTGGAGGGCCTCCTCGACTTATCTTTATTGATTTGGCAGCCTTTTGGGGCCCCTGTGGTGCCTGTTGGGATCTTTTTGGATCGTGATGGACGCATGTTGGGCACACATTGTTCCATCATGGTGGACGCCACGCGTGCTGACCAGTAGCTGCATGTTGACTACCCCGTGGGCCAGCACCCCACGTCCGACTTTCAACGAGGTTTAAGGAGAGGCTGCACAGCGAGCGCTTTATCTGGCGCTGTCTTGGCTCAAGGCAGCGCTGTCCCATATGCCAGGAGCACGCGATTCTGTGCGCCTCAATTCGGCTCATAGCAACGGACAAAAGCCACGTTTTTCTATGACCATCTCCCATTCCCATGGCTCCTGTCTTACCTGTATCCTCGCTTGCCATCAAGGGATGAGTTGTTGGATACCTCGGTGCGTCGCCGAGGTTATCCTTAGAGTCGGTTCTTAGCTTATCACCTCATCGTCAAGCCCTGTACCCTTACTTTTCGCTTGGCAGCGGAGCTGGTTACATCTTCACGTGGCTGGCTCTTTCATCAGGTGCTATGGACCTAGCCACGTACCACGGCACAGTGGAGTACCCGACTGCGCCGGCTCTCAGCCACTACATACTTTCGAACCAACTGGTAACCTGCAGCCCTATGTCGCCATCTCCCCGCCGCGTGGCCACACGCCACGCACAACCCAAACACCGATACCTATCCGCAAGCTGACGGCCACGGTAGACCAGACAGCCAGTCGCAAGCCTACGGACGCGACAGTATCCAATGATAAGCAACCTAACATTATCAGCTGCAACATGAGCATGCACAATGTTACGGTTGCCATCTTTGGAATCATTTGGGCGTGTTTGGGCTTTGCCGTGGCATGCATGCGAGGAGCAGGACTGGATGAAGCACGCGTTCGGGGCCCCTTCTGGGGCCCCGCAGACAACGTACCCTTTCGATCGCGAAGTACACGCATGGCTTGATGTGAGAAGCGGAAGCGTGACTTCACCTCAACAGGCCGCAGCATTGCAGCGCGGTCGAGGAGGATTTGCTAGGACACAAGCCATGAGGGCGCCATCCACCATCATCAACTATGGCGTCACACTACAGGGGGGGCGGACCGACGGGGTCGCATACATCACGTACCTATCACGCGCCAAATTTGAACCGCGAGAACGACCGACAGCTCACCTCGGGGACCGCCCTCATCGATTTCAAGGTCGAGAGAGGCGGACGCATCGACTCAGTACTGGCCCGATTCGAGATGGCCAGAGTGGAAGCAGACTCAGCAGGCTTCAACATTCCCAACTTTCAGATCCTGGTTCCGATCTTATTTCATGCCTTCGGGGTTGGCACCTCCCGAGCAGCACAGCCGCTGCAGACGATGAACCACCGCGCCCCTCGTGCCCAGCGACAGTGCGATCAACTCCTGGAGCGACTGCGCAGCCATGGGCACTTGGCCGGGCGTTCCCCTGGAAATATCGGGGGCACTTTCAGCGGGCGCAGCGCCGGCACTTACCGCGCCGAAATAAGCGACGCACTGGCAGCCGCGCCGAACAGCATCTGGAACGACGGAGAGCCCACTGAGTCCACTGCGCCTATAGGCCAAGACGCCAGCACGATGCAGCTGCGCAATACCTGCGCCAAGGATATCGGCGCGCCAAGAGAAGGCAATGACGACAAATGAAGAAACTGGCTAGGAGGTTCAGGCGAGCTGCGCGTCGCCCCTGCTTCCGCAATGCGACGGGTCGCGGCAGGAGTGGTAGCTGCGCCCGCAGACTGCGCGGCAAAGGCGCGGCCGCGTTCCTGGCTCGACTGACCGACTGCGAGTTTGAAGACTCATTCTTAGGAGGCAGAGGTAGAGGCAAAGGTCGCAGGCGCGCCGCAGGCCAGGGCAAGGGCCGCAGGCCCACACCCGCGTGGATGGGCGGATGGACAAAGGGTGACGCGTAACACCTGTTGGAGCGACGAGCATTTCCACGCGCAATGTTCTAAGGGAGGTGGAACAGGGGACGGGCCCGCACTTCTTGGCTCGGACCAGTCCGAAGCGGATGTCAGCGAGTACGTTGATTTCCCCGAGCTAGACCGCCCCCTGTCTCAAACCAGTTCGTCTCGGTTCTTGGTGGCCCATGCCGGCGCCGCCGTGTCGGTGGAGCGGCGCGCGGAGTGCTTCCACGACGGGGTCGAGGAGCACTACGACGTCCCGTCGAGGATTGGGTCGGCACGCGCTGGCGCGGGCGCGCGCGGGAATATTCTGAGTGCGACGACGAGGGCGAGTGCGCGTCCGAAGCGGAGACCATGCCCGCCAGTGATGCTGAAATAATTGAACAGCTCGGACACGAGTAAAACAGCTCGCATGCGCTCCAAACCCCGACAGTCCTCGGACTCACGGAGGAGGAGCGGGCCGCGGTGGGTTGAGGCCAGACCCGCGCCAACGCTTTCATGATGTGGGGTAAGTCTGGGAAGGCCCCAATCGGCTCTGGCGGCCCTTGCGCAGGCGACGAAGGAAGCGGTCGCTGGGGCCGCAGCTCAACTGCGCGCCGCGCAGCAGGTGGATCCGGTAAAACTGGCAAACGCAGCCCGGGCACGGGCGGCCCCGGCCACTCCACGGGCGCAGGATGCGCCGAATCAGCCGGGCCATCGCGCGGCGCGAGCTCCAGTGGCAGAGGATGGGGCAAGGGGCGCGCCCCCCCAGGTAAGGGGCGCGCCTCTTTCTCGCGCGACAACTGGGGCCCTCGCACGGAGATCGACGGTTCTGATATGAATGATTTCTTCGAGGGGGGCTATGCAGAGGTCTAGATTCGCCATCGGTGGTCGCTGAGGCATTGTGCTATTCGCGACGAAAGAGGCTACATCATCGAAGCATCAGAACGGCGCGGCAGACACCGCGACGAATGGCGGACATTCAAGCGCGATGTGGTCAATCAGCGCAAGACGTACCACATGTGCCCATGCCCACCTCACAGTCAGCATTTTCGCAACTGCCCAAATGACGGCCTATCTCGCAGCCCCAATCATGGCGCGGCGCCTTGGCGCCCCGATCACCGCGGCGGCGCGAGCGGGAGGGCGGCCACGTCCATTGCATATTCTGTCTCACTGTCCGACACAGAAGCTCAAGAAATGGAAACAGCATGGCAACATCTAGCAGGCGACCGCATCCTCAAGGTATGCAACGCGGACTGGCGGTTCCGCCATCCTGATGACTATCCCGCTTGAGACGCTGACGACAGTGACGACAGCGCTCCCCGTATTCCCCGCCACCGCGAGCGGAACGCGACAGGTCATATCGTTGGTGCTTCTAGCGCCGAGGCCCCTGCGCCCCCTCCAGGATCGAATCGAGCGGCAGACGACGAGATTGGAGAGCAGGGGGGGCAGGGCGAACGGCCCCTGGCGCCGACATCACCTGCCGGGCCAACGGGCGGACGCGCCCAGGAGACCCAAGAAGACGCGGCTCCCAAGAGGAAGCTGCGTCTTGATCAAGAGGTGGATCAATAATCCCCCGGGTTCGAAGTCAAGGGCAAGAACGGGGGGAAGATCGAGGACAAGCGCGGTTCCACTGGGCGCGGAAGCAGTGCCAAGCAGACAGTTGAGCGGTTCAAAGGCAGCTCGACACCTATGCCCGATCAGCCGGTCACCGAAAGGTCAGACAAATCGCAGCAGGACCCGGCTTTTCGAGGTACCTTGGTAACGAATCTAACGGCAGCGAGCCAGAAAGGTTCGGGCTCGGCCACGGGCGACGATCAGCGACATCCCGACACTCCTTTTGGTGTTGCAGCGATGAGAAGTTAAGGCCGCAGAAGACCTGCCGCCGGATGCCAGGGAGTAGCAGAGCCCGGACACTCGCAAATCACCAAGATCACTACCAGTAGGCATGTAGCCACAGCTTAAGCCGGAAGGCTTCCAAGTGGAATCTTTCCGGCCCGACAGAAAGAATATGGCAGTGAAGTTGGCCGGTGCTGCGGAGTCAAAGTTCCAGGGTGGGCCGCCCGCCGAGGCGTCTGCCGGGTTATCGGCTGCGGCCTCGTCGTCGGCCCAGCCGTC